GAAGAAGCCTTAAGGCACCACAGGGTGCTTGGGCATCCTGGTTGAGAAAGGCTGAACTAGTAGATGAGAGTAAACTACTGGTTCTTGGCCGAAAGCCAGGAAAAAACTGTAAACAAACCCAGCAGCTGGAAGAAAAAAAAACTGTAGACAAACCCGGTAGCTGGGAAAATGTTAACAGAACCAGCAGCTGATTGAAAAAATTTAAAACTCAGAAGCTGAGAGAAAAATGTAAACAAACCCAGCAGCCAGGAGAGACAAAATGTGAACAAACCCGGCAGCCGGAAGAAAAAAAACTGTAAACAAACCTGGCTGGGAAAATGTTAACAAAAGCAGCAGCTGAGAGAGAAAAATGTAAACAAACTCAGCATCTGAGAGAAAAAACGTAAACAAACCCAGCCAGCCGAAGAAAAAACTGTAAACAAACCCGGTAGCTGAGAAAATGATAACAAAAGCAGCAGCTGAGAGAAAAAAATTTAAACAAATTCAGCATCTAAGAGAAAAATGTAAACAAACCAAGCCAGGAGAAAAAATATAAACAAACCCGGTAGCTGGGAAAATGTTAACAGAACCAGCAGCTGATTGAAAAAATTTAAAACTCAGAAGCTGAGAGAAAAATGAGCAGCCAGGAGAAAAAATGTAACAAACCCGGCAGCCGGGAAAAAAAAAAAACTGTAAACAAACCTGGCTGGGAAAAGTGTAACAAAACCCAGCAGCTGAGAAGAAAAAAACAAACAAAACCGGCAGTAAACCAAACCTGGCTGGGAAAATGTTAACTGCATCTGAGAGTAAACAAACCCAGCCAGCCGTAAAAAACTGTAAACAAACCCGGCAGCTGTGATAACAAAAGCAAAATTAAACAAATGTAAAGAAAAAATGTAAACCCAAGCCAGGATGCTGGGAAAATGTTAACAAACCCAGAAAAAAAATTAAACAAACCCGAGCAGAAAATAAATGTAAAGAAACCCGGAGCTGGTAGAAAAAAATTTAAACAAAAGCCAGGAGAAAATGTTAAAAAAAAGAAAGCCGAGCACTGATAGAAAAATGTAAACAAACCCAGAAGGAGAAAAATGTAAACAAACTCCACAGCCAGGAGTCTGTGAACCTGCCAGCACTGTTGTTGTGAAAATACAACTATTGCCAGAAGTATTGGGCCGCCGACCTTTCCACCCACATGACCTTTAATGGCCCCCCAGTCTTAGTCTGTAGGGTTGAATATTGAGTTGGCCCCGCCCTTTCCACGCACATGACCTTTAATGGCCTCCCAATCTTAGTCTGTAGGGTTCAATATTGAGTTGGCCCCGCCCTTTCCACGCACATGACCTTTAATGGCCCCCCCCAGTCTTAGTCCGTAGGGTTCAATATTGAGTTGGCCCCGCCCTTTGCAGCTATAACCGCTTCAACTCTTCTGGGAAGGCCGTCCACAAGGTTTAGGAGGGTGTCTATGGGAAGGTTGGACCATTCTTCCAGAAGCACATTTGTCAGGTCAGGCACTGATGTCGGGGGAGGAGGCCTGGCTCGCAGTCTCCACTCTATTTCATCCCAAAGGTGTTCTATGGGGTTGAGGTCAGGACTCTGTGCAGGCCAGTCAAGTTCCTCCACCCCAAACTGGCTCCCCATGTCTTTATGGACCTGCTTTGTGCGCAGTCATGTTGGAACAGGAAGGGGCCCCATCCCCAAAGGGGAGCATGAAATTGTCCAAAAATGTCACCTTACAAGTTCCCTTCACTAGAACTAGGGGGCCAAGCCCATCCCCTGAAAAACAACCCCACCCCATAATCCCCCCTCCACCAAACATTAGGAGGTCTTTAGCTATTGACTCTGCAGACAGTTGGCAACTTCTGCGCACTGTGCGCTTCAGCATGCGCTGACCCCGCCCTGTCATGTGACGTGGCCTACCACTTGGTGGCTGAGTGGCTGTTGTTCCCCAGTTGCTTCCACTTTGTTATAATCCCACTAACAGTTGAGCGTGGAATATTTAGTAGCCAGGAAATGTCACGGATGGACTTATTGCCCAGGTGGCCACCTATCACGGGACCATGCTTGGAGTCACTGAGCTCCTGAGAGCGACCCATTCTTTCACCAATGTTTGTAGAAGCAGTCTGCATGCCTAGGGGCTTGATTGTATACACCTGTGTCCATGGAGGGGATTGGAACACCTGAATCACATGATATGGAGGGGATTGGAGCACCTGAATCACATGATTGGGAGGGGATTGGAACACCTGAATCACATGATGGAGGGGGATCGGAACACCTGAATCACATGATTGGAGGGGATTGGAACACCCTGAATCACATGATATGGGAGGGGATTGGAACACCTGAATCACATGATATGGAGGGGATTGGAACACCCGAATCACATGACTGGAATTGGAACAACACCCGAATCACATGACTGGAGGGGATTGGAACACCGGAAATCACATGACTGGAGGAGATGGAATCACATGGAGGGGATCGGAACACCTGAATCACATGATTGGAGGGATTGGAACACCGAATCACATGATTGGAAGGGCGGGGACAATACTTTGCACAGGGACGCACAGATGTATTTACCTGCACAGGGGTGTAAAGGTGTTTCATGCATCCCCATGCTGGCAGTCCTATTCACATCAATTGGGACGTGCCAGCTGCACGGGCAGCCACTCATCTATATGGGTGCAGGTGCATACCCCCCAAACACACACTGTCTATGTTTGGGGCCGTGCAATTGCATGGATATCAAACTGGGGCCAGCAGCTGTGCCCATGCACCAGGCCATACACGGGTCGAATTCCAAACAAATTTTCTTTAGAAAATCAGAAATTTTGTGCATTTTGTAACCCGATGGCGCCACCATTGATTTCGAAATTCATTCAACCAAGCCTTCAATTCCCCCTCATGTTGCTACAGAAAAGAATTTTCGTGGCCAAGAATTTTCTTTTCACAGCTTTATATTTCTCACACGATTCTCCCATCATTGATTCGAAATTCGTTCATTTTTCAAAAAATTTCCAACATGCCCGATCACTCAAATTCGATGGTCACACGAAAAATCGGACGTTTCTGTGGCCCACTAATGGCGCGAAATTTGAACAAAAATTCTTAGAAAAATTTTTCGAAAGAAAATCCTTTTGAAATTCGACCCGTGTACGGCCGGCTTAACTGACCTGAATGGGACTGCCTGCGGGGGGGGGGGGGGGACGCACGGAACACCTGTGCAGGTAAGCATCGTTCTGGCACAGGTGAACAGTACAGTACATCTGTGTGAATGATGCCTTGTAATGTCTCCCCCCCCCCCCCCATACTGGCCAGTCCAATGGCGGCTATACACGCTTCAACAACGAATCGATTTCTTTTCCAATCAAACTCTCAGTCTACAGTCAAGATCAATTTCGATCGATATGGCACACACTGGGAAGTAGATTCCAATCAAGGGTTGGGGGTTCCATGCAACCACCTGCAGGCGCCCCGCTAAAAGAAATGACAAGCAGCAGGCTGCTGGGATCTGCAGACTGTATTCTGATCCCCAGTTCTGCAAGGATGTACGTGGAGTTCCGTGTGGCCTGCCCATCATTGATTCGAACAGACTGGCTGCACGGAACGCCTGAGCATCCCACACGGCTAAAGAAGGCCCTTCGCACCAGACCAGTACACCATTGTGAATGAGGACTGAAAGCGGATGTAATGGGCGAGATTTCCTATCACTGGAGCACCCAGAATATATATTATAATCTATGAATCAAAATAGACAGGTGCAGTGCTGAGTAATGATAAACACTTATAATATACACACTTTCATGTTATATCAACTGGTGCAAACAGATGATGTCACCGAATGGCGATTCTCAGTGACTAAATAGTTCGATAGGATATAATAAAATCGTGCGGATCCTGAAGGATCACAATGTCCAGATAGATGGGGAGTGACAGATGGTGTGCTTCAAATGAATGAAATACGCACTCACCAGAAGTGCGTTTACAATACGCAAATTGAAATCCTGCATCTCCAGACAGTTAGTGGATCATCTGTTCCCAGGTCAGGTCACACATCAGATAACCATCTGGTCACATCAGCACAGCTGTAAGCCCTTGTACCCTATGACTACGTGCATCGCACGAAACGCGTCAGGTGAGCTACAGCAACCGGACATCTGACCAACATTGGTGGCCACTCTGAACATATGGTCAGTATATTTATTTTATTACCTTGTAATACTCATCTTACTGGAATAAAAGGTACTTTATACAGTATCACACTATGTGGTCTCTTATTGGGCTCTCCGTGTGAGTGCCTCCATTTGCAGTGCCCATTCAAAAGAGATGACCCAAGTTGGTGATACGCACCAAAGGACCGTGGTACCCCTGTGCTGATGTGACCAGATGGTTATCTGATGTGTGACCTGACCTGGGAACAGATGATCCACTGTCTGGAGACGCAGGATTTCATATTGCGTATTGTAAACGCACTTCTGGTGAGTGCGTATTTCATTCATTTGAAGCACACCACATCTGTCACTCCCGGATCAGGATATCCACGTACCTGACATTGTGATCCTTCAGGATCCGCACGATTTTATTATATCCTATCGAACTATTTAGTCACTGAGAATCGCCATTCGGTGACATCATCTGTTTGCACCAGTTGATAGAACATGAAAGTGTGTATATTATAAGTGTTTATCATTACTCAGCGCTGCACCTGTCTATTTTGATTCATATATTTCTGGAGGTTTTTTTGGTTACCTTTTATTTTGGTGTTTCAGCAGCGAGTGTATTTATCTATTTCTTTTACTCCTATGGTAGCGCTCACTAAACATTCCCTTTCTACACTATATTATAATCTAAATAATAATATTCTTTAATTCTTATTATGTATTATTATTGTTAACAATAATATTTAATTATTATTACTATTTATGTATTATTTATTAATAATAAATATTTAATATTATTTATTATGTATTATTATTGTTAATACTAATATTTATTATTTATGTATTATTTAATAAATAATATTTAATTATTTGTATGTATTACTATTTAATAATAAATAATAATATTTAATTATGATTATTATGTATTATTTATGAATAATAAATAATAATAAAATAGCAAATAATAATAATAAAAGAGCAGGAAATGTATGAAAAGTGCACCAAATATAATGTGTACCTGTCTGTAGGTTTGGCCCCGGGACCTGTAGGTAGGCAAAACAGTCACATGTTATCCAATGATTACTAATGACACTCCGTGTGTTCTGAGCATCTGTGGGGTCAATGACCTCTGGTAATGAGGACTGTTATCAGCAAAGTGCAGAACTGTAGCATGACGGGCAGAGCGGGACACAACTCCACCCAATCTGCAGCCGGCAATTGCTGAACCCTCTTCATTGCAGGAAAGCAGATCATACATGGAGAGCCATTTACAGCCTCCACCCCCACAAAGCAGCCATCGCACACAATGTAGACTTTATACACTGTACAGAACACAAGAAGAAGAAACCCAACTCTCCGTGGGCACTTTAGAACATCGTATTCTTCGCAGTACTCGCTGAGCCCCGCAGATGTGACACCCACACACCACGGCACATGTTTGCGCTTGGTAACCTGTCTGGTAACAGAAGATGAGATTTGTTGAAGGTTTCATACTGAGGAGTGAGACTCTGCCATCCTTCTCCCTGCAGGGCGGTTCTACTCTATGCCTGAAGCAAAGATGGTTTTCTTAGGATCCCCTGTATAAGAAGGTGTCACACATGCCGATCAGCGTCTCCTTACCCTTTTCAGTTGTGGAGCGCCCCCCCCCCCCGCTAGTCTAAAATTTTAAAAATGTGAATATTACTCATTGGCAAACCTGTGCCTGGGACAATGCACACACCTACCCTGATGTTACATCAGAGGTCCCTCCCATCACACCAGAGCGCCCCCTCCACATCAAAGGTCCTGCTTCACATCAAAGGTCCCCCATCCCATCAAAGGTCCTCCCATCACACCAGAGCGCCCCCCCACATCAAAGGTCCTGCTTCACATCAAAGGTCCCCCCATCCCATCAGAGGTCCTCCCATCCCATCAGAGCACCCCCTCCACATCAAAGGTCCTGCATACCATCAGAGGTCCTCCCATCCCATCAGAGGTCCTCCCACCCCATCAGAGGTCCTCCCACCCCATCAGAGGTCCTCCCATCCCATCAGAGGTCCTCCCATCCCATCAGAGATCCTCCCATCCCATCAGAGGTCCTCCCATCCCATCAGAGATCCTCCCATCCCATCAGAGGTCCTCCCATCCCATCAGAGGTCCTCCCATCCAATCAGAGGTCCTCCCATCCAATCAGAGGTCCTCCCATCACATCAGAGCACCCCCTCCACATCAAAGGTCCTACATCACATCAGAGGCTCCCCCCACCACATCAGAGCGCCCCCTCCATATCAAAGGTTCTGCATCCCATCAGAGGTCCTCACATCAGAGGTTCACCCATCCCATCAGAGGTCCCCACCATCCCATCAGAGGTTCCCCCATCCCATCAGAGGTCCCCCCCATCACATCAGAGCGTCCCCCCATCCCATCAGAGGTTCACTCATCACATCAGAGCGTCCCCTCCACATCAAAGGTCCTGCATCCCATCAGAGGTCCTCTCATACCATCAGAGGTTACATAGTCACATAGTTAGTCTGGCTGAAAAAAGACAAAAGTCCATCCAGTTCAACCATAGAAAAAAAAAAAAAAGGTTATAATCCTACACCCACAGTTGATCCAGAGGAAGGAAAAAAAAAACCCAGCAAGCATGATCCCATCCCATCAGAGGTCCCTCCCATCCCATCAGAGGTCCTGCATCACATCAGAGGTCCCCCCATCCCATCAGAGGTCCCTCCCATCCCATCAGAGGTCCCCCCCATCGCATCAGAGGTCCCCCCATCACATCAGAGGTCCCCCCATCACATCAGAGGTCCCCCCATCACATCAGAGGTCCCCCCATCCCATCAGAGGTCCCTCCCATCCCATCAGAGGTCCCCCCATCACATCAGAGGTCCCCCCATCACATCAGAGGTCCCCCCATCACATCAGAGGTCCCCCATCACATCAGAGGTCCCCCCATCACATCAGAGGTCCCCATCACATCAGAGCATTTTTTACATGAAGATCACGTCAAAGTGCCCTCTTCACATCAAAGGTCCCCCCATGACATCAGAGGCATTCTTTACATCAAAAGGTCCCCCTTCACTTCAGAGACCCCCCCATGACATCAGAGCCATTCTTTACATCAATGGTCCCCCTTATCACATCAGGAGGTCCCCCCATCACATCAAAAGCCTGCCTTAACATCAGCGGCTGCCCATCACATCAGATGTCCCCCTTCACATCAAAGGTCCCCACTATGCATAAGAGCTCCCATCACATCAGAAACATCCCTATACGTCAGAGGCACCCTATACATGAGTCTCCCTATCACAGGGCCCCCCCACACCCCAATCACAGAGCCCCACCCCCCACCCCAATCACAGAGCCCCCCTCATATCAG